CAGGTTGGCCTTGAACTTGTGGCGATCCTCTCTGCCTCAGCCTCCTGGGTTCTGGGATTACAGGTATGAGCCACCACAAGTGGCTTCATTGAACTTTTTTTTTTTACATTTTAAATCAGCGCTCTGCATAAGAACTGCCATGAGGCAGTTGCTATCCAGATGCCACTCAACTAAACACATGCCTGTTCCCACTCCTAGGTAGGTACCACGCGCGACACATTCTCAGCCCTTTACGGGCACGGGCCATTAACCACAGATCAGTTCAGATAAAAGCCGAAACAAGTACCTGACAATTTAAAGGAGAGTAAGGTCAATGTCCTGCCACAGTGACACTGTGTGCAGACCTGAAGGGATGTGCGTGTCCCCAGAAGAGAACCTGGAATTGAGTGATAGCAAATAAAGTGCAGAATTTAAATAATTGGATTTCTAATTGGATACTGACTGGGAAATGATACTAAACAGGGCAATTAAAATTGAGTCCCAACCTAATTTCTCATAACTGTGTTATTATGGGATTACAATCTTAGCCGAGATTCTAACCAAGTCTATCTGATCAAAGTTTGATATATACATTACGAAAGCCACCAAAATAAATTTATAAACACTGACCAATGTAGCTGTTTATAATACCCAATGAATAGGACAACATTTTAATCAAACACAAATAACTTCGTCATGTAAATGAAAAAATAGTAGGAGCTCTTTCGTGTAAGAGAAAGGGAAATCCCTGAGGAAGTTCTGAAGAATGTTGGAAATATAGCTACACCTAAAGAAGCACATTAAAAGATTTCAGCGAACAGACTGTATCTAAGGTGAAGAGTAACTACGAAAGCTGAAGAGGGCCACAAAACAAAGGGACAGAGCGGTATCTACAGGAGCTAGAAATACCTTCCAAAGAAAAAAGATAAGGCCTGAGAAGAGCAGCCGATGGCAGTCACCAGGAAGAAAGTGGCAGGGTCTCATGCATTTACAAGCAAAGAGAATAAATAGGCTTCATAGCTGTAAAAACAGTAGATGTGTTTACCTACTTTAAAAGCTTTACTATTAACATTTAAGTAACTAAATGACTGCTGCCAACATAAATGACTACACAGTGAATTACTCAGTTAAAAAGGGCTGCTGGATGTGACTCCCTGTGAACGGCTTGACTACCTAATCCAGACCATACTTTATAAATAGCAACACTGAGAACTGCTCTAGCACCCACGGAACTATGTCACTGTCGCCTCATATCTTCGGGGAAAAGTGCCATTTCTAGGAAGCTGAAAATAATATGTTGGAATAAAAAAGCAAAACTATAGGGAATAAGAAAAACACAAAACAAACTAAATCTACAGCCCAAAATGGACACTAAATAAGAATTTAAGACAAGTTCCTCTTCAGGAACAATTATTTAAGAAGATACATCGGCGGGGAGATCTGTGAAAGGGGAGGTAAGAAGTTACGACCATACTGACAAGAGGTAGAGTTTCTAGGGTCCAGCAGCGAGACTGGGGTAGACTTTTTATATATTTTAGAGTTGAAATGACCTAACTTGAAGAATGAGATGCGGCAGATAAAAAAGATATCAAGATTACCCCTAGATTCCGTCTTGAGGGCTAGGTGATTGGAAAGAAGGTAAGAAAGGATAGAGGAACAACAATAGGATTACAGTGTGAAAAAAAAAAAAAAAGAGTTGTAATCCAGACATGTAAGGTACTGGATAATTTGGACACTGTCAAGAAGAAAAATAAAATAAGCAGTTGGCTATATGCAAAGTGTAACGTCTAGCACCTAGTCGAGTACCTGAAAGATCTTCAACAATAAAAAAGAACAGGGCCAGGGATATAGCTCAGCAGCACAAGCACCTGCCTGGCAAGCACAAGGTCCTGAGTTTGATTCCCGGTACCAAAAAAATAAAAAAGAACAAACAAAAAAACAGGCCCTGCAATAACTTCGGTTTTATTATGAAATTTTCTCACTGCTGTTGACAAATGGATACATAAAAATATATTTTTAAAATGTGATTGGAATATATATTTGCCTCTTATTTTAAAGACATGAAAGAAGAAGTTCAGATGGTTGGTTTACATTCCTTTGTAGATACTTGGAGAGGGTTGCTGGGTATCAAACTCAGCGCCTCGGGCATGTTAGGCAAATACTATACTGAGGAGCTATATCACCAGCCCTAGAATATTTTTTTAAGGCAAGACAAGGAAAAGTAGATTATACTTTTAATGGAGCCTTCATCACCGGCAGATTAACTTTTTGGTGTAACAAATTAAACTGTTAAGCAAACATGAGACTGCAAAAGTAAAAAACAAAACAAAACAACTCCTTAACTGTATTATAATTCTGGCAAGGAAGGAGTATCAGAGAATACATATACTATGAAAATATAAATGACAAATTAAAAATGAATGTATAATAACACTTTTGGGCCAGGTGTATAGCTCAGCAGCACAGTGCCTGCCTGGCGAGCCCAAGGTCCTGAGTTTGATTTCTGGCACCAAAAAAAAAAAAAAAAAGAAGAGTGAGTAACACTTTCTCATACAAACCTTTTCTTTTAATAATTTAAGAGAAGGAAAAAGCAGGATTACATGAAAATCACAGATGAAATTTAACTGTAAGGTGACATTAACTTCAAAAAGATCAGGAAAAGAAGATATAATCAGATCCCAAGCATTTACAATATATAATCAAAAGCACCACAAACTGGGATGGCTTTCAAAACTGCATTAGATTCACGGCAGATGCCTATCACCGCAGCTCTCTGCGAGACTGAGGCAGAGGAGTGAAAGCTCGAGCCCAGCCTGGACAATTACATATAGTACATGCAAGTAGGCACCACGATACTGTGTCAAAGGTAAACGTAAATATTGCATGGGAAGTTCATTTCAAATGAATATAGCAATCCTGTTACTCAAATAAGTCTCCGGTTCACATTTCCTACCTGAGACTGTTGAGATCAAGATCATCTGTATCAAAATCCAAAAGAGGCTGAGGAGTGTCACTCGGACCATGAGACTGCAACACAGATGAGCTGGATGATATGACTGTGGTTTGGCCTGAGGGGTGGATGATTTTGAACTGAAACTGCGGACCCATCCACAGCCGTCTGTGGGGTCCGGTGTGGGTTACAATTTCGACCTGAAAAAGTGTTAGAATCATGATTTAAATATATTCTGACTTCCTTTTGAGAAACTCTCATAACCCTGCATCCCATCTTTTGGCATCCACATTCTCCAAGTAGTATGTATTAATGAAATGCGGGAGGGTAAAAGCACACACAATCAAAAGGTGTTCAGAATCACAGACTGTACAGATAAACACTGTACCTCTCTCTCTTATGTAAATGTACAGACACACATGTACATGAAGCATACAACCGAAAAATCACGTAAAGGAAAATGACTGGCCGCCTGCCTCATATTACTAGCATCTGCTCCCTAGGTACTACCTTTTCTATTCATTCAAGACACTACTTACCACACTACGAGCACGCACTTAACACTACACCTATTAATCCACAGATTTAAAGTAATTCTTTCACTGAGGCTCAAGCTCATGAAAAACCTGTATTCGTTCTTGAGCTATCCAAGGAAAGAAAAGGTCTGAAATAAATTTTCACACCCAAAGCCAGTTTTTTTCTTTTATTCAATATTACAATAGTTGCATTGTATTCAATATCTCTAAAAATCTACTTTTACATGAAGAAATTATTTTTTTCCTCAAACTAGATGTTTTTGTTCTCAAAATACTGTTCGAGTATTTTCATAATGGGTAGAAACTTTGACACAGAATTTTATGTCTAGCAAAGCAGCACTACAAAACTGCTTTATAAATTTTATGCTCTATGGAAGGGGCTGGGGATGTTCCCAATATTATATTAAACATTGTAAAAAAGAAATGGAGATAGTAGAATATTGGGTAAAATCTGAAAATGGACACATTTCACGATTTTACAAATAATTAACCTGAACAGGAGAAGAAATATGTATGTGTTGGTGGGAAATTACTGTATTTCTTGAAGACTAGTCCTTGCTGTGTCTCTCTGTGCACTTTATGGAACTGACTTCCCATGTGCCTTGAGTCTTTGCTCTGATTCTTTTATATTTAATCACATTTGTCTGATGGCAGCGATTAATTCTTAACAAAACATAACTGAAACGGTTCACAGAGTGTAGCTCTGTGTTTGAGTCCGAAAGGGCAAAAGCACCATGGTCTTGGAACAATATTCACATTCCCACTAATTACAGGGAGAAAAACACTCAGATGGAGGACAGTGATTTCTGACTCGAGTGGTTGTATTTAGCAATGTAAATTAGGCCACAGATAAAGTGTTCTGTGTATTTTAAGCTCAAAACCGTCAGTGTCACAGAGCCGAGAGGTAAACAGATGCCTATGCAATTTCACTGAGGCAATGGCCAGATGTTCCTATATTCGCTCTCCTGTTATGTGCAGGACAAACACACTGTATATACTTTCACACTGACAGCACAAATTACTTTTTCTTCTAATTGAAAAATTGAAGTGAAGGACAGTAGATTCTTTGCCAGCATACTGGGGCAAAATTTTAATTTTGGAAAATGCATAAGAAAGGACGCGCCTCCGTCTGACAGGATCTGAAGCCTCACTGAGGCGCTTCCCATGAGTATGTGTGGTGTGATAAAATAAATACATGCTACCTAGAAAATGTTTTGATTCTCTAATTTCCACATCCACTTCGTTTTTCAGGCTAGCCTCCCTCAGAAGGCAAGGCAATCAAAAAGGGTCTCCACTTTTTCTGAGGCACCTGTCTGAGGAAAAGCTGCCAGATTGGTAATCTGAGACAGGTCATTGACTTCATCAAATGATGCCAGACTTGGGGCAGACATAACAGCATTTGTATTGAAGTCATTTTTAATCTCACCATTTTGAAATCTACCCAAGTATCTTTCATTTCAAAGCTCTTCAGATGAAGACAGCTTCACGGACAAAGGTGAGGACCGGTCAGTGAAAGCTGTTATCGGACTCGTTCAGAGACCACTTAGCTAGGAAAGGCAACTCTGAACTTGAGCCCAGTACAGCGCTGACCTTCTATAACGACAGCACGAGCCCATCTTCAGGAAGTGTTGGTCCCAAACAAATAAACCCCGTATTGCTGAATGGCTCTAATGTTTCAAAAAGAAAAACATCTTGCTTTAAAACTGATGAAAATGTATTCTAAAAAAGAGTCTGCTGCCTAAAATCCACCATCTCAAGAATTTTAAATGGGTTGTTTCAAGGAGATGCACATTTTATGCCCTCTGTATTAAAGTTAGTAGGATATGTATGTGAATAAAATGTGGTTAAATAATACACGTATGGGTAAAATACATATGTATACCTGCAACAATATTTCTGAGAAAATCAATATAGATAACTGATTAATCTTGATTCAACAAAAAGTTACCAGTTCTCTCCTACTTTCCCCTAAGAAAAAGAATAGAAAGAGATACCGGGTGTCCATTTACCTTTACATTAGTATCCCAAAGACATTAGAACATTACCTGCGAAAGCCATTCTTCATCTTCCTGCCCACTATGGTCAGAGGCTAAGCTGTCATAGGACCCATGTCGAGTAATGGGCCCAGGACTTCCAGGGGGTGCCACTATAAGGGAAATAAAATGGATTTAAATCACTTTAATTAATACAGTAGACAAGCGGATGTGAACACCTTAAATACTGGGGTCATCTATAAGACAAAATTTGATAAAGTGGCAATTCACACAATTAATGAAGAAATATGACTAGAGTCCTCATATAAGAAAGATCTCCAATTAAAAGCATACTTTAAACACCATCTCCAAGGCTAGCCAGGTATGGTGGTGCATTCGTATAGTCACAGCTACTTGGGAAGCTAAGGTACCAGCATCACTTGAGTCTAGGAGCTGGAGGACATCCAGGACCATGTAGCAAGATTCTTATCTCAAAAACAAACCAAAAAAAAAAACCCTACAGGGGGCTGGGGATTTAGCTCAGCGGCAAAGCGCCTGCCTGGCAAGCACAAGGTCGTGAGTTCGGTTCCTGGTACCAGAGAAAAACCAAAAACCAAAAAATAAAACCCTACAGGAATTTAGTAAAGGCATCACTACAAAAGAAATAAACCACTGCATGTTAATACCAAAAATACATGAAGAAGCAGTGCACAAATTCACTGGGGGATTAAAAGACCATCCAATATTTAAAAACCATCCAATATTTCCACATGAATGATAAGCATAAAATGATATTTAATTGAAAAACACTTTCAGTTGCTAAAAGTTTTTAATTTATCCAAATAAATATGTCATTTTTTGGATATTTCAGTAGTATCCCTGATTCTTAAATGGTATGAAACAAACATCCTACTTTCTCAAATAAAGAGGACCTTTGCTTAGTGAAAGTAATAAAATGATCAAAATCTTAGCATCCTCTTTGGAAGGTACATGCTATCTACCTATATACCTACCTACCTACCTCTAAGTAGCATTTTAATTTTTTAGAGCAGTCTTAAATTCATCCCTATATACTCCTATTTCCTATTTTCACACTCACAAAAAAGTCAAGCGATAGAGTAACAGGGGAATAGAAAAAAGGAAAAAATCCAGGTGAAGGGGAATAGCAAACAAAAAGAAATGGGTGAAATAGAAAAGAATAAGAAAAAGAAAACAGTATCATTTCCACAGTGGTGAGATATTTATATATACATCTACATTCAAACATTCTTACACTAAGTTCCAAAATGAAAGAGGATGTGAACATTTAGAAAAAGTGTGATACCCATTCCCAGAAAGAGCTAACTATACACTTCCATGGGCAGTACAGGAGAATGTTCATCTCACTGCACTCTTGCCAGACCACGGTATTTAGAAGAACTAGACCTCAGTGAAACTGATACAAATGAAGCAGACAAAGTATGGCCTAGCAGAAAATTTTTAAGACACATACTTACAAAAATGTTGTCTTCACTTGCTACAGGAAGAGAAATGGGACCTAACTCAGGCAACTATCAAACAGAATTGTATATATAAAGTATAGGAAGGTAAGAGATGCAGTGATTCAAACTGTTAGCTGCAAGTTCCTCCAAGTCATAGTTCAGGAGGTCAGAAGCATGCTGGTGCTGGCACAAAATACAAGTGAACACAAAGGCATATGCCTAAATTCTTGTGGTGGTGAGCACTTTCATAAAGAACCCAAAATAATTACCAATTACTATTTAAGCATTCTTTGGGAAGTAATGTTCAGTCAACTGATGTTCTTAAAAAGCTGAATTGTCTACAAAATATTCATTGCCTGTATAATAAATATATCTGATACCAAAAGAAGAGGATCGCTCAAATCCCTCCTTACGTAATCAAAAAGATGCATATGGACAAAAGCCTAGAAGTCGGGGTGCGCTTTGGAAAGTAGACAAAGGCAGAGATGATTTTAAAGAAACAAGGGAGTAAGTTCTGAAGATATCTGAGGGCAAAATCTCATGAAGAGAAGATTAAGTACAAAGACTCTGAGGTGAAACAGAAAGGGAATGTTTTAGGAAGAGCCTGGAGGCCCCAGTAGTTGGGTGGGGTAAGCGAAGTTGTGAGAAGGAGAAGGAAGAAGCACGGACTTTTTTAGGGGGTCGGAATAAGGCTACAGCAATATGACATCGAAAGCTTTAAGCGGAGTGAGAAACCATGCCCCTGTGGAAGTAACTATTACCCAACGTCAGTGTTCCCAAGTGTGAATGTTGTGTGCTGCAGATGCTAAGCCTAGTCTAATGCTTGTCACAGAATAAGCATCCAATAGGTAGTAAGTGGCTAGATGGAGCTTGCATTTGGAATTAAGTAATAATACCAGAATGGAGGGATGCTTATCTATCCATCATCAAAAATGTGTATAATATGGTGTCTGGAAATAACCTCAAAATAACTTAAGGTAAGAGGCTGAGTTAAAGAGCACAATTACAGACAGAACAAGGTTAGTCACGCTTTGATCTTTGTGGAAATGGGCTGGTAGGTAAACGGAGGTTTATTACACTATTGTTATACGGTTTTGTGTATGTTTGGAATTTCCCACAATGAAAAAGGAGGAAAAAGGAGGGTTAAGGAGAAGCATCCTTTCTGCCCTCATCTGCTTTCCTAAGGAAGCAGTAAACATACCAAACATACATCTAAGGAATACTACCACAAATCTGAACCTCAAACTCCTACTAGTGTAAGAAGGGATTCCATGCCTTCTATTCACAAGTTTTCTAATTAAGAATGCTTTGAAACCACTGGAAGATGAATGTTATAAAAATATGTCTGGAGGTAAAATATTTTTCAGCAATTAAAAAACTCTTTTCTTCTCCCCTACATATATTTATACTTAAAAGTTCTCCCAACCCAGGGAGAAAGAACACTCTTTGCTCACCACCTTGAAAAAATAAGTGAAAAAAATAAATAAAAAGGAAGAAAAGAAAAAATAAGTGAAAAGTTTGAATTTGAGATTTAAAAAAGAAAAAAAAAGTGAAACAGCAGAGCTTGCACGCTCCCTAACCACCCAATTAGTATCTGTGGCACAGACAGAAAGTAGAGAAGAGAAGGTCCCCAGGGAGGAAGAAGGACCACAATACCGCATGGCTGGAGGTACGCACACAGTGGGTCTGCACAGCCTAGGCTGTGACAACGCAGGTGAGAAGAATGTGTGCAAGAGTAACAAAGAGATAGTCCAGAGAAGTGACAGGATTTGAAGTAAACACAAGAATGAACACTGCAGAGATCTACATGAACCTAGCACCAAAAACCTGAGTGGGAATTAGGATGTCTCAGGAGTGACAGTGAGGATAAAATGTCCCCAATTCTTTATGTCATAGTTGTATGTTCTGCTAAGAAACTTTACAAAGGGTTGTAACTGATAGAGATGAATTCTCCCAAACTTCTAATGATGTAATGATAAAAGTGAACACATGTCAGAATCTAGAGAAAAATAGAAGTCCTGTATCTTGCAAACTCAAACACAATGGACCAAGAAACATACCAGCTACATAGGGAAAAAAATTGAGTACTTTTATGAACATTTATCAACTATGTTTAGATAATTAATAAATGTCTACAATAAAAGGATATGAATTTTTGAGATATAAATCTTGCCATATTCTATTTCTCCCTTTAATAATTTAAAACACCACAGATCCACCTAGCTAAGAAAAATATACTTTCAATCTGTTTTAGAATATAACTTCAAAAATTAGTGTTAAACTGAGTGTGGTGGTGCATACTTAAAATCCCAGAACTCTGGGAGGCTGAGGCAGGAGAATCACAAGTTCAAGCCCAATCTGAACAACTTAGTGACTTAGCAAGATCTGTCTCAAAATAAAAAAGATGCTGGGGATATAAACTTAGTGGAAAGGCCCTGGGTTCAAAACTCATTAGAGGGGGATAAAAAAAACCCAGATATTTGATAATTGTATCAAGCAGACATTTGATAATTATAGATCAACAAGCAAGGGCAGGATGAGTAGATCAGTGAGAGGTCACTCTGACCCAGACTGTTTATACTGTGTTCTTAGGAAAGCAGATGATGCTTACAGTGAGTAAATAAGAGGTTTAAAAAAATCACTAAGTGTATTCTGCTGTCTTACAGTGATATATGGGTGTATGTATGTGTTTGTGTTTCTGTGGACATATTTTCGTATGTGTTTATGTGTAAAAAAAAAACAAAAACAAATCTATTACAGGGCCAACCTTTGCGAATTAATCCTGTTAATATAAGAAGAAAATACTTCCAAAATCAGTAGAGCAACATAAATAACATTTTGAAAAAAATTAAATGATCCTCATAAAAATATCCCTACATCTCAATTCCATGTAATACAAATTTCCATATTCTTAAACAGTTAATTCATAATATAACTTTTCAAATCTATTTAAAACCTACGGAGAATTTGTTTTTGTTCTAGGAATAATTACTAAATTAAAGAGTCATAGCTGTATTAACAGACATCAAAGCTGACACTCCTAATTTAAAAAAAATCTACCTCTTTAAAGTTGGCTAGTGTCAGTTAGGATATGACTTTGAACCAAGGTCCCAAGCACGAATTATTACTTGTCCTGGGGAAATCTGAACTTCTTGCCATATCAACTTCTTCTATAGAAAATGAGAATATAACCTCAATTTCATGGTATCAAACTCTCTAAAATACCCCCAAAGAAACAGCTAGCTCTGAAAAAACTTAGTACATTTGCAACAAATCTAAACTTCTACATTGAAGACAAAGATAAATTTTTATCACTAATATATTGCATATACTGTATATTGGGGCAGGTAATTAATTACTCTTCTTTACTGGGTTAGGCATGGCTTTTAGCTATTCAGAAAAAATCAGATGCCCCAAAAATGACTAATATGGGATGTAGGTTTTGCTTTAAGATGAAAAAATGAAAAGAAAAATTACTGTATTTATCACTGATTTATTTAAAGCAACTGCCAAAGCATATAAAGTTAAAAGACTAACCACATACAGGTTATAAGCATCCTCTTTACATAAACTAACATAAGGCATAATGCTAAAATTGAGTAGCGTTTATTTACAAAACAAATAGAGGGAAAACCTATTTGGTACTATTACTTTCCTGTTCTAGTCATCGACTTAAACATCTTCTTAGCTGT